CCAAGACAGGTGACGGAATTTGACTGAACTGAACAGCTCCCTGAAGTCCCTTTGGGAATACCTCAAGAAAGAGGAAACTAGCCATATTTGAAAATATTTAGGTTACCAGGTAGCAATGTGAGACATGAGGGAGGTTGTAGAATTTCCTTATTTGGATGTTTTTAAGCAAATAGTGGATGACTCTTTCTGGGACAGTTGGCGTACTCTCTTGCCTAGAAACCAGGAGCGAACTGGGTCAGCGTGCCTTAAGCCATGTGTGGTGATGTCCCAGAAAACAGCGTGTCCCACACGCTGCGCTGGTAACTTCCCTCCTCCGCTGAGCAGCTGAGAACTAGGGATCTGGCTGGACTGAAGAGAACATTTCTCTGGACAGGCCTTGCCTGCTGCTGAGGTAAGAGCAGGAGGAGAGCCTGAAGCCCTGGGATAGGCAGGGGAGGAGCCCCTCTCCACACTTGACAGCCACCGCCCCGACTGCTAGGAGGGACTGACAGCAGCTGGTTCTTGGCTTATTGGCAATGCACCCTAACCTGGTTCTGTTTATACATATACTTACCAGCCAGTGCATAGGATTTGGGAACTTTTATCATGGAAGGAGCTTCATCTCTTGATTTATGGATGAGGAAACAGGCCGGAGGACAAGATAGAGTCTGATGTTACCCAGGCAGCGTCAGTTCCTTCACTGCCCAGCTGGGCACTCTCCTCCACTCCCTGACAGCTTCAGCGTGGGTTCCTCAAGATCTTCAAGTGTATTAATTATCTCAGTATCTATATTGCATGGGCTAATTGGGACTTAAGCTTTTGATATGTTTATTTTTTGATAAGCTTCTGTGATGATGTCTTCTAGCTAGTCTTTTTATGTCCTCTATGCTCTATGTTTAATCCTTTTGCATGTTCATCTTTTTACCTTGTGAACATTTTCCTTTGGGTTAGCCATTTTCAATAAAGGAGCCATAATCTATGTGTTGCATTTGAAGCTTGGCGTTGAACTGGGGGCCTCAGGAGACCCAGTCTTTGCGTCCCCAATGCTTGTACCCCAACTGCAGCAACCAGCAGAGTGCTTTGCCTATCGCTCAGTGGAGTGAAAGATAAATGAAGAATGTTGGATGTTGATGTAATAATTCCATAGTAAATAACCTGCTAGGCCATAATATTCAACTTTTTTTGAAACAATGTATCTGAAATACCCTGAGCTTTTATCAGGGGAAGTAAGAATCTTAAAATCCTTGGGGTATGACGTGCCATGCATAATAGCTGTGGATTTTCAAGACGTCAGTACCAGGAGCATCATTGTTTGTAGCATAGAGGTGGAGAGAGATGCTGAAGCACTGAGAGGTGTGACTTGGCAACTTGCTAGAAAACCGTGGAATAAGGAATGCACGTGTGTATGGGTGGGGGGTGGTAACTCTAGTTGATGACAGAGTTGGGCTTTCTTCTCTGGCTCTACATAGCCTCAGGACCTCTTCAACTGAGTAGTCAAACCACAGAAGCTTCCAGAACTGTGTCAAAATAATCAGGTTTGGAGTAATCTGGCCTGTTAGCTTACCCTGAGCATTGACATGGCCCAGATGGTATTAGAGGAGAGCCATTACATCTGTGTCTGCGCTTGGAGAATCCTCCCCTGCCTTCTCCCCTGGCCTTTGCGTTAGTGCCTGAAGATACAAGAACCCTGTACCCTAAAGCAGCCCTTGGGAGAATCAACGTATTTGCCAGAAAAGAAAAAGACAACTTAGAGATTTGAACTTAATAAAAGGATTCATAAGAGTCTCCTTAAGTGACCATCTATGTTTGAGGCTGTTTATAATGTTTTATTTCTCTAAAATAGTCATATTTTAAATACATTTTCAGAACTCTTCTCTATGTACAAGTTAGGCATTTTCTCAAAGTTAGATTCCCTTTACAGGGTCTACTTTGTAAAATAAAGATGAGACGATTAAGGGAAAGAAAAGTGTTTTTTCTTTGGTTATTTTGACATCATGGTGGCTTTAGATATGATGATGGCATTTGGTTATCATGGTGCTTTAAAAACGTAAGGGGATTTCATTTTTCTTTGGAATCCTACATATTTTATGTTTTATGTCTTCCGTCATTGCAGTTAATGCTAATTTATGCAAATTTATGTTGTTCTAGCTGAGGTGTTTTGGATTATTCATAGGTCTTTGAGAACCCCTGGGTGTGTACCAGAACTGGGGTGGAGCTGAGAATTGAAATCCTGACTGTCCAGTGTTACTTTAACCACAGAGTCAAGTTGCAAGAAAAGTGGGGCAGGCTGTAAAGAGTCCCTTGTGGTGTGACACTGGGGTGCAAATGCCCCCTGGTTCAAGCAGGTTACATAACTGGGCGTCAGTGTACTGAGTCATGATGCTGCCTTTCTCACCCGGAGCAGGCCACCTTTTACTCCTTACTGCTTCTGTCATGGTCAGTAACAAAGCCCTCCAGGGAAATTCCACCCACACTCATATTCTTACTTTATAGGACATAATCCCTCCTGTAAATTCTTCAGTACTGGGCTCCACAGGCAACTCCTACAGATGGTTTCTGTATTTATACTTCAGGAAATGGGTCAGGTTATTTCCCTGTCACTATTGACCTGGAAAATAAGAGCTGTCTCTCAGCAGAAACTCAGAACCCACTGTCCCTAAGGTATGGACTAGACGTGTGGCCTTTTCAGTTTGGGGAATTATTTGATTTTCTCATAACTTAAAAAGTAATCTTATAATTTAAGGAAAATAAACAATTACGACTTTCTTTGGCTAGATGTCTAGAGATTCTATAACTATTGATTTAATAAATTTAAGTGCTTACTGAAAGATTAGTAGCCAGAGATGATCAAGATGAACAACGTGACATTTGTCTTCTTAGATTTATGACTTGGGCAGTGATTTAGAAACAGCGATTCAAAACTTACTTCTAATTTGCAAACTACTTTAAAAAGATTCCTGGCAGGGCATAGGCAAATAGGACTATGGGATGAGGGTCTATCTTAGTGGGGAAATACATGCTAGCATGTGTCAGGCCCTGGCTTTGATCCCCAGCACAAGAAAGAAAGAGAGAGACATTGGGAGGGATCAGCCAGATAATACCTCTACCTTTCTCTTAGAGGTTATCAATGGTATGTAAATAAGATTGCATTTGTTTATGTAATTAAACCCTCAACACTTTGTCTTCCTTTAAAGAATCAAATGGACCAATATTTCTGAGACATATAAGGCAAATAATAAATATAATTTTAACTGATAAAAATGGATTCCAAAATAAATTCAAATATAATAAGATGTAATCCCATGATACGTTATGTAATCTGGAGTTCATATCAATGAATAAGTTGATGAGCTCAAAGTATGATTTAGAGCAGGTAAATATTTGGTGCTTTTCAACCAAATATTCTCAGAGATGTCATTTTCACTTGCTTACTTTTTTGTGGGCCTGAGTGTTAACCTGTAAGGGTTATGCTAACAAAAGGTTGCATGGGGAAACAAAAGTTTAAAATACTGGTATTTGTATGTGGCAGGAGAGTAAATTGGTCAGTAGTGGATATGGATTTACAAAGTTGAGTGTTATGCAATTTTGAACTGTACATTTCAATGTTAAAACTGTTTCTTTTTCATGTGACTATTGGTTTCTATAGAGAACAAGTTCAACATTATAGAATGATATGAAAATATTAAAAATAAAATCAATTTTTAAAAACCCAGTCAGGAATTGAAAATATTTTTAAAAATCAGTATTACTAGAATGTTCAAAATATACTTAGAAATACTACAAATTATTCCAAAGGAAAAAGGAACTAGGATGAGTGACAGAGGAAAGGGCAGTAGAAAAAAGGGAAAAAATGCAAGTCAGCTATACTATTTGTGTCCCTTAGTTCATTAAAAAGGAAGGTTTGTGCTAACATCAACTAGGGAAATTTTTACGCCCATATGTCGTACCCTGAGCAACTACTTTGAAGATAACAACATGCAAAGCATTAGCTATTGTTATTCTCCTATTATTTTGTTAAGAAATTTTGCTTTACCTTTTCTCCATAAAATTTTAAAAACTACTCCATCCTGCCCACTCCTACTCTATTTATAAACTCTCTGCTAGGAAACTGCGTAAATTGCAGTGAAACTCGCGTTTGAGCTAAGGTAGTGTGTGTGCATCAGCGAGGGTCTTGGAAAATGTAATCCGTTTTCTACATAATTCTCTTTTTTCACACTAGAGGGCAGCAGTAATGCACAGGGAAGGGGAAATTGTTGAAACTCAAAACAGTTTCTCAGAAAGATGGAGAACAAAACACCTAAAAAGCACCTCAGATTTCCACATATAAATTTTTAGAAAATCAACTCCTTTTCTCCCATTACTAAATTTGCATAGAATTCTTACTAACTCCCTTTAGATTTATAAAATGTACCAATTGGTTTGGCCAAACATTAATTTAAAATATGATCATGAAGATATCTCTAAAAAAGAACATATGTAGAAGTTAAGTGTATAGCTATTTATTGCTATGTGAGAAAACTACTCAAAATTTAGAAAATGTTTCCTCTCTGTTCTGCTGGTTGACCAAGCACATCTGGTCAATTCTTTCTTCTCCTTCACCATGGCCTTTTAATGTGGTTGGAACATCTCACACCACGGTAGCTGGGGACTCAGGGGAAGCATCCCTAGAATGAGCATACCAGGAAAAAAGAAGCAGAAGCTTCCAGTAGAAGGCATTCTAATAGCATCTTCTAACAGTCAAAGCGGCAACAAAATCAGCCCAGATTCAGAGTGGGAAGCAAGCTCTATCTGTTGATGCAAGGAGCAGTCTGTGGATACAGGGAGAGGAGGAATCATTGAGCACTGCCTTGGAGACCATTATGTGAGGGGCTGAGAAACAGGCCACCCATGACTTACTTTAGCTGCAAATGATGGGGACGCAAAGGAACGTTTCTTCATTTTATAAGTGGTGTTGCTTGTAAACATGACATTTTAAGAATTAAGATGCACAAAAGTCATCCCTGTGTTCTTCTCCTTCCAAGATCTGTTACATAAAGCGGCAAAAAAATGGCCAGAGGATCAGTGTCCGATGAGGAAATGATGGAGCTCAGAGAGGCTTTTGCCAAAGTTGGTGAGTAGACCTGGTACCTGAGCTGCACAGTTCTCGCCTGTAGTGATAGATTCAATGAAATGGTAACATGAGCAAAATGGCAACAGAGACAAGAGATCAGGGGGTTGGACAAGAAGCTGAGAGAAACGTGGTTTTGAAAGATATTCTTTGAGAAAACCACTTTATCAAAACACGAACTGTGAGCTCTGTTCCACCTGTGACTTTTTCATGGCATTCATCTGTAACTCTCATCCTTTGTATATTGTCAGCTTCCACTCTTTTCCTTTCAAACTATGACGTATTTTTTCTTTCCCTTTGTCACTGTGTGAGGAGTTTCTATTAGTAGTGTCTCAGATTCAATTGCCAAAACTTGTTTTGAAATTATGACTTTTATTTAGATGTTGAAAATGACGCCAGGGCCCATATCCAGAAGCAGCAGGCGTCTTGTGAGACTTTTGACCCTTTCAGAGGGTCAGACCTCAACCCTTCAAGCATCACACCCGCTAACCTTCACCTCCCAGCCAGCCTCCCTGACCTCTCTAAACGTGGCCCCTGGATTGCGCTGAAGCCCGCTTTGCTTCTGCATTACAGATACAGATGGCAACGGCTACATCAGCTGTAATGAGCTGAATGACTTGTTCAAGGCTGCCTGCTTGCCTCTGCCTGGATACAGAGTAAGAGAGATCACAGAAAATCTGATGGCTACCGGCGATCTGGACAAAGATGGGAGGCTCAGCTTTGATGAGTTCATTAAGGTGAATATGATGCAGAATACAAGGAGATGCATTTAAAACTTGCTCTTTAATTCGGTTTCAAAAAACTATAGGACACATCACTACCCTCCTCGCTTCATCATTATACACTTTCTTTTATGATTTTTCCAGATGGTTGCTTGGTTTCTAAAATTACATTATATTTTTGTAGGTTTTCCATGGCCTGAAAAGCGCAGATGTTGCCAAGACATTTAGAAAAGCAATCAATAAGAAGGAGGGCATTTGTGCAATTGGTGGTACCTCAGAGCAGTCCAGTGTTGGCACCCAACACTCCTACTCAGGTAAGCTGCACTAACGGATGGGGATGGTGGTAAAGATGGTGTTGAGGGTTGAGAGATTTGCGGGTAAAGGATCGATGCCTTTTGAGGTTCCAGATTCTAGAATTGGGACTCAAATCTCAAGGGTGAAAACAAACATAAAAGAGCATGACTGTGGACCACCAGCTGTTCTCCTGTAAGTGAGCCATTTCTAGGGATGTAAAGAGCAGCCCTAGCTCCAGTAGAGTCCAATACAAATGATATCATAAACATTTTTGAAAATACCTTAAAGCCTGCAATAATCCTTTTGTAAATTGTGTGGACAAAATTAGCTACTTCTCTTGTCTTCCACATAATGATTTTTTTAATGCCTACTGAGTAATCAAAAAATTGTGTCTTCATTGATTTGCAAGGAAGTGGTACATTTATTCTGAAGGCTGCCTTCCAACAGCCTTAATGGAAACTTTTAATAGTCCAAAAAGTATAGTTATCCAACATTTCCCAAACTGAGTTCTTTTAAAACATTAGTTAATCAGTTAAACATTGCCTATAGTTGCTATGACAAGGCTTAGTCTTTTTGCTACTGGGTATTTCCCAAGTTCTTGTGAATCAGAATTCCTTGAAAGGAAACTTGTTTTCAAAGACACACAATTTGGAAAATGCAGTGCTAGGAAATAAGGCATAATTAGAAGTTTTACTAAAACTTTAAAAGAAATTCATGGCAGCTTTACTGATAGGAAAGAAAAATTATATAACAAATATTTCATTTCACAGCAGCTTCATTATAATTGTGTGAAGAAATTCGCAGATATTATAAGCATTGTTCATGGGTATGCAAGGTTTAAATCATCAGGGCTACAGGCCAGGTCTCATCCTGTAACATTAGGCCACCTTTATATTCAAATTATAACTATGTAAATATTTTTATTTCTATATATGAAAATATAAATATATTTGCTTCTTACATATGCATTTTTATTATTTGTTCTAAATCTCTTTGGTATATTTTATGACTTGTAAAAAACATAGGTTTTGCGTCTTTTCCCCAAGTGATCTGAGATGTTTAAATGTCAATAAATAATGAGACAATAAGATAATGGACTGAGTAACCTTGTAATGTGTCTTCTGGGCTTGAGAATCTGAGGTCGCTGTGAATAATGTTTCTACCACATTTTCACCTTGCAAACAAGTCACTTTAATCATTTACTTGCAGAGGAAGAAAAATATGCCTTTGTCAACTGGATAAACAAAGCCCTGGAAAATGATCCTGATTGTCGGCATGTTATCCCAATGAATCCAAACACCAATGATCTCTTTAATGCTGTTGGAGATGGCATTGTCCTTTGGTAAATAAAACTTCCTTCTTGATTTCCAAAGAATTGCCCATTTTGTACAGTGTCAACAATCACTGTGTGTATCGTAGGTCCATTCCTTTGCTGTTCAGCTGTACTGGAAATGCTTTTGTAGACTTTCATTTGGCTAGGTCCAAAGAGCAAACCAGTCTCTGCTGCAATTTATAATGAAAAATATAAAACTGCTGTTGCTTGGATGAAGAAGAGGGATACATGGTATAAAGATGAGCAGACACATAGACATCCAGTAATACAGTCAATAATTATTTTTGTGATTGTTTTGTTTTTGTGGTAGTGGAGATTGAATGTAGCATCTGGCTCTGAGTTATATATCCCTGACCTTCTTCTTATACTACTGTTTCTCCTCCTCCTCCCCCTCCTCCTCCTTCTTCTTTTTTATTTTTGAATCAGTGTCTTGTTAAGTTGCCCAGAGCAGACTCGATCTTGCATTCCTCCTCCCTCAGCCCCTGGAGTACTGGGATTATAGGCATGTGCTACTACACCAGACTAGGAGTATTTATTTTTGGAATATTGTGCTGCTCTGTCCATCTGAGCACATTCTACCATGATAGTAAGTAGCCTTGAGAATAGCAACAAAGTAACTGAAGCAATCCAATGCAGGCTAAGCTGAAGCGAAGGAACTTTCGAGTAGCACACAGAAATACAGCACACATTAGGGGGGCACCTGAAGAGGGGCAATGTATCCTCTCCACAGATGGCTCCAAACAGTGGCGGTTAATTCATTTAAGTGTCTTTAAAACTACCTCTGTAGCTCTGGTTCAGCATCATCCCCACATCCACAATCCATCGCATCAGTGAGGTGACAATGGCTGGCACTCAGTGTGCAGTGAGCTCAGGGATTAAAAGGAAAATACGGGGAAAGAAGATATTGAGTCTCTTCTGCTTCAACCAGGGCGATTCTGCTTTTAGTGTTTTATTTATTAGAGTTTATCATGAGATTTTATTTTTAAAAGCTTTCACTGATAAACATGAAATAAAAATAAAACTCTTAGGATTAAGTCCTGCTCTATTAGGCTGGCATCCAAGACACCCCATGGTCTTTCCTGAAACCCCTTGGAGTAAGTTGTATTCACTGGGCACCAGCCTGAGAGGACCATGACACGGGTGAGTGAGGGCGCCAGCAAAAACGACTCTCACCCCCATGTGCCCCACAGCTGTGGCTTTGCCTTGTACTTCCTTTTTATGAATGGCCTTCTCCACCTTCTCGTGTTGCTGACATGTTCACTTATAATATTGCTAGAATTTGAACTCAGTGGACCTGGGCTTTGTTACTGAGAATCCTGTTTTCTTTATTTAATTGCTTCTCTTCCAGTAAGATGATCAACCTGTCAGTGCCAGACACAATTGATGAAAGAACAATCAACAAGAAGAAGCTCACCCCTTTCACCATTCAGGTATGCCTCCCACTCTCATTGCAGTGTAAGATTGCTTGGAAGCACTGAACACCAGCAGTGCTGACCAGCTTTCCACACGAGTGCAGACATTGTGTAAACCTAGACTCTGGACTTGTTATATCTAGTGGCAGTAGAAGGACACATTTCTGTCTGGTGTTTTACTAATAGAGCAGGTAAGAGGAGGTGGGCAAGGCGTTAGTAGTTAGACGATCACTTAGGAATAAAGTTCACACTGGCTAAAGTTTTGTCTCAAGCTTTCCCTAGCAATTTGTCTTTGAGTTGACGCCAAATACATAACATCTAGCTGAAAAGATAAGCCTTTCTAAGGGTGAAAACCAGGAAGCTCTCGGGCAGCCTTTACAGCAATGCTGGCCACAGCCACAAGTGGAATAAATATACCTTGCTTTTATTCGTTCAATTTGCTGATTAACTGGAAGAATAATCAGCAGAAAGTAAACTCTGTATATATAATGTTCAAATATTCTAGCATAGAGCTGGGGATTTAGCTCAGTAGCATAGCACCTGCCTTGTAAAGCAGGCAGTCGTGAGTTTGATCCCCGGTACCGATAAAAAGGAAAAGACAAAAAAAAAATTCTAGCATAATTTTCTTGCTCAGAAACAATGTCTTACTTCCTAAGTGATACACACATCAGTATCTCCTGTTTCAGTTTAAGTGAACTCTGTGCTTTTATTTTTTCTGGGGATCGAACTTACGCCCTCGCACTTGCCAGCTAAATCCCCAGCCCCTGAACTCTGTGCTTTTTAAATAGAAGTGGTGACCAAATTGAGAACAGTGATTAAACAAATAAGGAAAGAGTTCATATTATTCATAATGTTGACCCTAAGTAGAAGTAGCATTTTTCATTTATCATTTGAAAACTATGGTAAGAATCCTCAATGCTGATGGCCTTTGCTTTATTTTTATCATAAAAAATTCAGTACCTCTCTGGCACAGAAATCTCCTCCTCTTCCTTTATGGATTTAAGAATAGTACATAGACTCTAGGTTGAAAACTTTATTGACTCTACTCCAACTATATGTGTTACATACATGCACTACTGTTGATGATAGGTACCCATAATCTGTGTGTGTGTGTGTGTACTCAAGTTTCCTAGGTATAATGGATATTCAGTAAGTTGTCCTATTAAAAACCACTCCATCTTTTTCCAGGAATTTGGTTTCTATCTGTTTCATTCCTGTAATACCCAATCTGCAAGTCAAAAAGCTATTCTGCTGCTGTTTTATGACCTCAGTTTATATCAACCATTGTCTTATTAACAATAGCCAGTGACAGGGCACTGGCGTCCCTCAAAGGTGCCCCTTTCTTTCTGGCTAATGGAGGCGATCAGTGTGTAGTCTTCTTCACAAAGCAAGATGAACAATGAAATGAGTCATTAATTTCCTGCTGACCAAGAAGGGCTTTCCACTCAGAGTGCTGATTTGACGACATAGCCACTGTATAAGCTCTGGGCCTCAGTTACTGGATTTTCTCTTCCTGGTATGGTATTTTTCACTGCTTCTCCTTGGTCTTAAAGCTAGTGAAGACCATGCCTTAGGCCTGTGAACATTCCCAAAGGAAAACATTGCTGTTCCCAGTTAGTAGTCATCATTTGACATTTGCAAAGTGCCAGAATCAAACTCGCATACTTGCTTCTCTCAGGAAAATCTGAACTTGGCTCTGAACTCTGCCTCAGCCATCGGGTGCCATGTGGTTAATATAGGGGCCGAGGACCTGAAGGAGGGGAAGCCCTATCTGGTCTTGGGACTTTTGTGGCAAGTCATCAAGATCGGGTTGTTCGCTGACATTGAGATAAGCAGAAATGAAGGTAAGAGCAAAGTCTCCCATGCTGTGAGAGGTACAGCTGCTGATTAGGGTCTGTGCTGGGAATTGGAGGAGGAGGAAGATGTCAGGAAGTCTCGAGTTTAGACAGATGCACAGTTGTATTGAATTCAGGATATTAATGTAACAGATCCTATTCATGCTGACCAGACTTTAAAAAATGATGGAGCATTATTTTGTTTCCATTTGTAAATAAAGAGGAGAAGAGGGATTAAAGGGCAGGTAGGGGAATGCAAGTAAAAAAAGAATTAAGTTATATCCTATACAGGTACAGATTCCTTATGATGAATGTGGTCATTGTGTATACCTAAAATTTACCAATAAACTTAAGGAATTAAAAAAATGACAGACCACAAGCTTTTTAAGACCACAGGCTAATATAATATGGTTATATATTATATAACCATATAATATAATATGGTTAGAGCCTATAGCTCAGTCTGTCTGGGACTTAAACCTTGAGAGCTTTCTTTTAGAGCTCTTTGTGTTTCAGATACTTCCTAGCAAGTAAAGCTAGTTTTTTTGTTTTGTTTTGTTTTCTTTTCTTTTTTTATCGATACCAGGGATCAAACTCACGACTGTCTGCTTGCAAGACAGGCGCTTATGCCGCTGAGCTAAATCCCCAGCCCCTAGTAAAGCTAGTTTTAACTTATATTTTGTGAGGGAAATCACATTTCTGTACTTCAGTATAACCCCCAGTTAGGAGAAACTATTTCTCGTGATGACTACAGAGGAAGATATGGATCCAACAGTACAAAATTGCCTTTATGTGAGATAAATAAAACTAGAGAGATAGGTACATGATGATGAGTAGTTAACTAAGTGTTGGTAATTTTCTAAGAAAGTAGCTACTAGGTACTCTTACCACCAAAAGAAAAGGAATCCAAAGTTAACTATATGAGATTGAGATGATAGGATGTTAATTTGCTTGACTACAACAATCTTATCACTATGTATATCAAGATACGTATAGGGGGCTGGGGATTTAGCTCAGCAGCATAAGCACCTGCCTTGCAAGCAGGTGGTCGTGAGTTTGATCCCCGGTACCGATAAAAAAAAAAAAATAATAAGTGTATAAAGATACTATATTGTGTATCTTAAACATATACAGTAAATATAAAAATTTAAAAAGACAGTAGAAAATTACGCTTGAGTTTTTAAACTCTGCACTAAAGATGGAGTGGGCAGCCTTTGTCTTCTCTCCCCACCCTGTCCACATTTAAATAGGGGCATTGTGGTTGCATAAACAGAGGTAGTAGATAGACCTTGGAAGGTCCCACAGAAACCACAATGATGCTTTTCTCCAAAATGAAATCTGTAATCAAACCTTAGCCTTCAGTTATATATATTTTTATTTTTATGTTCAAATCACAAATTATGAAGAAACCTGAGAGTCACTTTAAAACCAATATATTAATCATAATATAAAAAAGCAAATGGAGATCTTAAAACCCAGGAAAAAGAATATTGATTGGCAAATTCAAATCAGCCAAATTTAAACCTTCCAACTGAGCAAAAAATATTTGTCTGAGGAAACAGAGGAAAATTGATTACAGTGTTGAGTTGCTATAATTATAAGCAGGTAAGGATCTGAAATATAAAACACGTATGGAATAAGCCAGGAAGACACTGTCATTATTACAAAATTGATCTCTTAAGAGCAAAAGTGTTGTCAAGTCATAAAATGTGGTTTCAGGACCCAGCACTGCATTCTGAGCCAATAGTCTAGGTTTCTCCTTTGGCTGTACCTGTGTCCTTACTCGTATCACTGAGATTTATTGGGGTCTTGTCTTCTCCATCTAAAACATGGGGATAGTTCCTGAGCTCACAGTAGTCCAAGCTTGTTTTAGGAAATAATGCTGGAGTGTTTGTTCTGTGGGAAACGTTATAAGCACATTCGCCCCAAAGAGATCCTGCTGTTGTCTTTTGCTTTCTAATAGCACTTGAGAATTAAGACAAACCCCCCAAACATCCCTTGGATTTATTTTTGTTTGGTTTTTGTGCTTCCTCAGCTCTGATTGCTCTTTTGAGAGAAGGAGAGAGCCTGGAGGATTTGATGAAGCTCTCGCCTGAAGATCTCCTGCTGAGGTGGGCTAATTACCACTTGGAAAATGCCGGCTGCAACAAAATCAGCAACTTCAGTACTGACATCAAGGTAGGAGGAGGAGTGTGGTTTGAACATGACTAACTGGCAGGAAAGGGGAATCTGGTGTTAGAGAAAACACAGATACTGAGCTTTGTGTCTTCAGAAACTCTAGGTTAATGTGGTCCTGTTTTGGAGCTGCTCACTGTCCTCACGGGTTCATCTGCAGCTCTGGGTCACGCACACCACCTGGCCAGGGTCTCTGTGCAGCCTCTGTGAGGGGAGTCTGACTTGAGGCTTGATTATCAGGTTGAGATAGCGCATTGGAAAGAGATAAGACTTCTTAAAGGGGAGCGTCTTTGGGGGATGGGGACTCCTTTTTAAAAATTAAATGAGAATGACTCCCCTAATTATTCTAATAAGTGTAACCACCTTGTATACCTGCCAGATGTTGATCTCATTGCTTCGTACATGCATCGATACATTTAATTCTAACAAGTTGCCCTGAATGAACACTTACGATTCTCCCATTCTTACAAACTGAGGTAAAGAGTGTCACACGGGTCAGGCTCTGGTTTTCAAATGTGAGAAGGATTCTATGCCTAAATGTGAGGAAGCAGCTCTTGGTAAGAGGTAGAGCGACACAGAAAGCCAAAGGAGCACTTTGGAAGAGTCCAGAAGCAGTCTCCTTGGGAACCCACATGAGATACGGGGACAAAACACGAGGGAAATGTTTTAGTCACTCCTGCCATAGAAGTTAGTGGAAACCTTCTCCAGCGAGAGCAAGGCAGAGGACGGATCCCAGGAGCAGTCAGGAATGCACCCTAGCTTGTAGTTTTTTGAGTGATTCTTCCTGGTGCTGGACACGATGGAATCATTGGTGTGTAGAATTCAGGTCCTCCAAGCCCAGGGACAGTTAGAGAAAAGCTTCTAAGGGGAGAGTTCCTCCCATTCCTTATGATCTAAGATAAATCCATTTTTCTAGCTGTACAACTTTCATTGTTTATCAACATTTTTCTACCAGCACCAACCGAAATGGGTTTCTCAAGGCCTGGGCCTGTCTCCCTGCAATTGCTGGAAAACTTTTCAGCCAGAATTAGGATGCATGATCTTAGCTGTCCATTGCTTGGGTTCCTGTCACTAAAAGCCTGTGTTCCTTAGCTCAATTAACCATTTTGGACATTGAGAAGTACAGTGTCTGTCGGAGGCAGGACCAAGCAAGCTGGGCACTTGCACGGTGATTGCACCGCTCCTCAAGGAGCAGCGGAGGGATTTGCTGCAACGCGAGTCTGAGCAGCCAGTACCTTGGAGTGCTTTCAATCCTATAGAATCCAAGAAAGTGTGAGGACTCACTTCCTGTCTCCAGTCTATTACAGCTAAACGTAACCACTGTTCTAGTTTCTAGAGGAACATTGAATATCCCTGTTACTGTACTGTTTTCCCATGCATGCAGACTAGTTGTTAAAGCTTCAGCCTTCAGTCTTTGAAATCTTTTTCTTTTGCTGATTGTGCATTTAAATGTGTTTTTAAACTCTGCTTTAAACTTCTGCTTCCTTTTTCTGTCACTTTTTTTTTAATTAAACCTTAGCTGACTGACTTCTACAGCAGTATAAAGGTATATATATTTTCCTGTATACCATTAAATACATAATGTGCTTTTCTGCCATAAGGATAATACAATAATGTCTGCTTCTTTGGGTTGCCTTTTATGTGTCTTATATTTTCAATTGTTAAATTCCATTAAAAAGAAAAAGAAAAGAAAGTATGCAACCAGACGAATACAACATTCAAATTAGCGCATGTTTCAAGCTTTGTTAATTAAGTTGCATTCCTAAATTACAGTGAAATCAGAAATAAAATACTGGCTTTGGGGAAATTATTGTCATGCTAAGTACGTGCTGTTTTGCAATTGTCACTTCTTAATTTTTCACAGGATTCCAAGGCTTATTATCACCTGCTGGAGCAGGTGGCCCCTAAAGGAGATGAAGAAGGCATCCCTGCTGTGGTTATTGACATGTCAGGGCTAAGGGTAAGGATGCCAAAGTGACACTGCCATTGTGTTGGTTGTTCCATTGTTCCTGCAAGACCCTTCTCTGGAGTTCTGCATAAAATCCTGAAATCCCTGTGAAACTATTAAAAACTCTTAATAGTTTTTTATATAATTGTGGAAAAGTGAATCTGGAAACACACAAATGCTAATTTGGTGCCATCTGCCATGCTAAGCACTTATTTATATCCCATCATTTCAGCACCAACTGGATCTGAATACTAAAACTGTAGGTTTTTTAAATTTTGATTTGATTTGATTTTTAATTGGTACACAGGAGCTAGACAATGTATGAAGTACAGTGTCACATTTTATGTCTATATCCATTGGATAATGGTCAGATCAAGGGTGTATTTTTCGGTTTTTCCACCACATTTGATATTGATCTTGAGAATTAACTTTGTCAGTTTTTGTATTTCATTTATTTAACATTGTTGGAATTAAATCCAAGGGTGTGATATTGAAGTTAATCGCTTCCTAAATGAGAAATAAAGTAAAGATAAATAAGAAGTAACGGTCATCAAATGTATAACACACAGTGTTATCTAGTAAAACATCAATTTAAGAAATGTAGTTTAAAATTCAATTTTTCTGAACACTGTGATGTTTTTGATTTTGTAAACAGTGGGCCATATTTGAACAAAATTTTAGTCCTATAAGAGTCTGCTTACTAATTACGGGAGATTGTCTGGAATCATTTGAGTATGTGGAGTGGTTCTCAATCTGAAGTCTGAAAAAGCCAAATTGATATTATATATTGACATTATATATCAGTGACAATATGTAAGCGAACTGACTGATATTTGCTTTGTCTAGCTTACAAGTATGCTGGTTCAGTATAGGATAAGTGTTTATATAATCAGATATTGACAGTTCTCATTTAAATTTGCAGGTTTTTTTATGAATTTGAAATAAGAATATAAATTATTAAATAAGCTTTTTGATTAAAAACTCATGAAGTCTGTGTAAGAAAGTAATACAAAGGAAATGATGTGTAAAAATAATTAAAATCAATGAAAATGAAAAGATTGTAGAATTTACTGAATTTCTTTACAAACAGAGCAAACAACCAACCATTCATCTGAAATGGTTGTGGACAGAGTTTCACTTACCTGACTTCTGAGATGCCTCTTACTTGTGATCGTCTAGTTTGGGTGCAGGAGGACATAAGCCATAATGTGCTGTTAACAAGTATCTACCCCCAGGGTGTCAGAGAGACTTCCACTCCCTTCTCACATGACACATGACCACGTTGCGCTTGGAAGCTGGGCCCAGCCTTGACACATCCGTTTTCATTGCAGGAGAAGGACGACATCCAGAGGGCAGAATGCATGCTGCAGCAGGCAGAGAGGCTGGGCTGCCGACAGTTTGTCACAGCCACAGATGTTGTCCGAGGGAACCCTAAGCTGAACTTGGCTTTCATCGCCAACCTCTTTAACAAATACCCTGCCCTGCACAAACCAGAGAACCAGGACATTGACTGGGGTGCTCTCGAAGGTAACTGTAAACCAGTTGCTTAAAATGTTTGGAAAAGAACTCACAATTCTAATTCAGAGGCCACTCAAAATCTCCCCCTGAGCAAATATAAACCCCTCATATGTGTAAATAGCCCATCAATTATCTGATATACAACAAAGATAATAAATACATCAATCAAGTCAATTATAGAATAATGAAAAACGATTGTACCACATACATAGGCTTCATCCGTTATCAGAATTTAAATGTTTTAGAGAAGACAGTGCATTTAATTATTGGATGAAATAAATTCTGAGATCTAAACCCCTAGTTTATGTACTTAATAGACTCTATTAATTCCTGGAGGCAAGAAATGACCAGCACTCACTATCTAAAGATGGTTTTGATTTATACTAGAATACAGTTACTGAGCTTTTCATTTGTCTTGTTTCTCTGACTGGATTCTTAGAAACATGAAAACTATTTTGAGGCAGAATCCTGCCAGTTATATTTTACAGATTTACACCCTAATGTTGGACAAAGAGTATAAAGCTGTAATCAGTTTCTTCCCAACAGAAGTGTCAGAAATGTTTCCTTGGTGGTTTTTCTCATGTACAAATTGAAACAAAATAAAGTGTCAAAATTAATATTAAATGAATGTCACAAAAGCAAGGAAATCTAGGTTTAAATATTGGTTGATTCTTTTCCAAAATACATTACTCTAGTTGGAAATACAGAATCAGTCTCTGTTTAGTAGTGCTGCATTTATGTCATTTGGCAAACAATGCCAAGGGTGCTTTCATTTTGTTGATCTCCGATCTATGTATCAAGCCCACTTATGTTCATTTTCAGCTTCTCTTTAGGACACTGAAGTTTAGGTCCTGAGCTGTCCCCCCACCAAGTGCTTTTCTATCCCACCTTCCAGTGCATCTGCTGCCCTTTAGAAATTCTCCAGTCCCTTTAATAGCATTTATTTTCCTTTAGTCATCAAAACTGAAGACCTTGGATTCTCCTCTATCTTCCTGTCCTTCACCCTTTAGTGTATTAAACCGGCAAATACTGATACTTCTTCATTTAGAATGTCTTCTAGATTACTATTTTCTTTTCCTCCTTTTTTCTGCTGTTGAACTCATATTATCTCCTATACCAATTATTTTAATAGCTATTAGGAAGCATTCCTTCATTTACCAGACGTTTGAATATCCTCCACATGCTACTTCCAAACACTATCCCCCCTGCACGTTTAATTTAAGTGTCTCTCGCCTTTCAACAATCCTGCACACTGCTGCCGGACACTTCCCAATATAGTTTTCATTATATATCTGCCTTGCTCAAGAATTTATGTTTTAATTTTTTATATAGAGAGAATAAAAGCAAACAAAAGAGAACAAAGCCAATCAAAACAAAATATGAAGATAACAAGTGTTTATAATAGTAATAAAAAAGAACCCATGATGGTGAACATTGTGTAATAGATCAACCCAAATCTGTTTATCAGCATTTAAAGATCCTCAGCTCTGGTTGCAGCCCCTAGACGGCCTTATCTCTGTGTGCTACACTGTGTTACACAGCTCCCCGTCTAATCAGTTCCTGGTGTTCTTAGTAGACATTTACCTGTTGTTTCCTTCATGTTTATATCATTCCAAACCCTCTACTCTCTCCTCATTAATATCCCATACTATTCTTTCCCTTGTCTCAACTTGAATAGCAAATACATCTGTCTCCTATTGACTATTTCTCTAGATTCTGTGATCTTTGTTTGGTGCTCGAATCATTTTTCCAGCAAGAATATCTAACTAGGTATTTTATCAAGGATCTTTCATACACTAATAAAAGCTACAGAAATACTTGTTGAATTGAAATAGAGGGGACAAAGAATAGCAACCTTCACCCACATCCAGTATTTTATTATTTTCATTTTACCTTCTGTTTTTATTGCGGCCTCTTGTGTTAAAAATTAGATAATAAAAATGGCCTGCTGTCTAGGAGTCAGAAAGGTAATCAGTCTTGTTTCATCCAGGTGAGACGAGAGAAGAACGGACATTTAGGAACTGGATGAATTCACTGGGCGTTAACCCCCGAGTGAACCACTTGTACAGGTAAGAACAGTCAGAAATTCATCCCTGGCATGAGATAGAAAGATCTCAAAGATTATAGAATTGTGAATACTGTTATGGTATCCATCCATCCTCAAAATGTGGGTCCCTTGATGAGGATGGAAGGTGTCGGATGCTCCCCTGGAAAAGTCCCCTCCATGTAGCAACCTCGCTGTGTTCAATTCAAAAGCAAGACTTCAGCAAAACAATAAATTTGCTGTGTGTGCTAAACCTATAATGTTCTTACAACCCTGGTACTGCTAAAAACGAAAAAGACAAAAAAAAAAAAAAAAAAAAAAAAAAAAAAACAAGCAGGCCAGAAAATAAATGAGGTTTAGATCGGCAGTTAGCTGTCTCCTATGCTATTTGTGACAGCCATGTTTGTTTTCCTGGAGACAACTCATCATTCCTGGGGAAAGTAAGTTCCCCAATTTCTCTACATCACAATTTCTTCTTCTCTAAAGGAGTGACTCCCGTCGACTCTGTAAGGTGATTGTGATTGTTGTGAGAGCTAAAATATAAGGAGGTGCTGGCCTGCTGTCGACCGTGAATAAGACATTGGGTATCTGAACATTCTTTTGTTTGTTTTGTTCAGTGACTTATCAGATGCCCTGGTCATCTTCCAACTCTATGAAAAGATTAAAGTCCCTGTTGACTGGAACAGAGTAAACAAACCGCCATACCCCAAACTTGGGGGCAACATGAAGAAGGTAAACAAGGACTATTCTGATATTTTAAGGGGCAGATGAAGTCACAAACTGGCAAGACATTTTGTGAATGCTTATCAGGCAGTCAAACTTAGATAAGCAATGTTCATTCAGGGATAAATTATAGTACAGCAGTCAAGAAACCTGAATAGTTTATTAAAGTGAGTCCATTATTACTTATTTATAATTCTGGGTTGGATGTCTTTAAACATTATCTTATAAAAATTCTAATTAAGATAATTAGAGCAAGCAGAGCCACAGGGCTTTTCCCTCCCAGCAGGATCTTCATTCTAATTTCCTAAAGAATTGGAGCTGTGTACTGACAACTTGACTGTTACAAATAGTTGGTCTATTGTCAACACAGTGGGAACATTATTTTGCAACAACAGGGTTGGCATAACCATTTGTCACTATTTCTCATCTGTGTGACCCTTAATGATCCATGAGTAGTCACCGGAATATCTGACCTACATGTGCAACCACTACGTGTATGTAAGATGGAGAATCCAAATTTTCCATGTCCATCTCCATGAATTCGTCTCTTTTAGAAATATTACAGACAGGTACCTGAGGATCACTGTCTATTTATGTAATGTATATAGCTATGAAAATATGCATAATAGTGAATTTATTCTAGCTTTTCAATTAAGAGTACACTGTGAATATTTCGGATGGAAAAAAGAGGTTCCAGTTGAGTAAACATGGAAAACCCTCCTTTATCTAATTCAGAATCCTAGAATTCGGAACTGGTAGGGACTTGAGAATCATTCAATCTGACCTTGTTTTGTTCAGTTTTATCTGTATTTTTTAATTAATTTACTTGGTGTTTATGATAATCAAAGTGATGACATTAAATTGTTTTCTTTCTTGTTCTTCAATAGCTTGAGAATTGTAATTATGCAGTGGAACTGGGGAAGAATCAAGCTAAGTTTTCCCTAGTCGGCATTGCTGGACAAGATCTCAATGAAGGGAACCGCACTCTGACGCTGGCCTTGATCTGGCAGCTGATGAGAAGGTAGTGCACCTCATGGGAGGGGCTTTTACTGCCTGGCTTTCTTGCCTAGAAATAGACTATTACATTTTTAGGAATGTGAGTAAGTTAAACCACCATGCCCAGAGCTATACTAACAAAGAAGTCCTTTTTGTTTTTCTATTTTTTCTCTGTCCTTTAAATTCTATTTTCATCTCTGGTATTTTACAAATGTGTCATGAGGTTTATACACATTTTGAATTATTGTTTCATTTTAAGGAGTCATATCATCATTATAGAGTGACACTGTTTATGGCTGACGATATTCTTTTCTCTGAAATCTATGTTTTAGTATATTAATATATCTACCACTGTTTAGTTTTCATTTGTGGATGGCATGCCATATCTTCTTCTATCTTTTTATTTTTGTATAAGTAACAATTACCTTTAAAAGGGCTTGAAAAATAATGGGAAACAATGCATAATTTCCAACATAATTCACCATTTCTGGTGTTCTTCCCTCCCTTGTATAGACTAAGATTTACATCCGGCATCCTATTCCTTCTACCTGAAATATTTCATACAGCACAAGTCTGCTGATGATGAATTCTTTCATCTTCCATATGTCAGGAAGATTCTTTCATTTTTAATATTTGCGCAGAATTCTAGGTAGTTTTTTTCTCAGTGCTTTAAATATGGTTTTCACTCTTCTTAACTGCATTGTTTCCCACAAAATCTGTCACTCTTTTTCCCTTTGTGTAGTGTGTTTTCTTTTTTTTTTTTTTTTTTTTCTGGCCAACTATAGATTTCTCTTTACCTCTGGCTTTAAGCAGTTTGATTATGCCTTAGATTGTTGAATTTATTGGATCTGAAGGTTTAAACTTTCTTCCAAATGTGAGAAATGTCTGGCATTCATTTCTTCAAATGCATCATCCGTACCTACCCAGTCCTGTTTAGAAGATACCAAGTCCATTTATATATGATCATTTGTGCTCGTCTCTGAATTTATTCATGCTCTGTTCATTTCCTCTATGTTTTATTTTTCTGTCGACATTTCACTGTGTATATGCAATGTAGTGTCTTCACTTCAGTAACATCATCTCTCTCCATCCTGTGTCTTATGAGTCTTTTCCACATATCTTCTTTATTCAACCTTCTTGAACATACAGAATGCAATTGTAATAACCATTATTTCTAGTTCTAATTCTATTGAATTTTTATCATTAATATGCCATATTTTCTGACTTATTTCTCGTGCTGCTATTTTATGCCAGCGATTGTAAATTTTTCCTTTCTGTGTGATGGATGTTTGTATGTTCCTTTTAGTATTCTTGAAATTTTTCTGGAACAGAGTAGGGTTACTTTAAATCTCCTTTCATCCTTTGAGTTTCACTAGAGTAGAGCTTATCTTGGTCTGCTGCTATCGAAATAATATTATCTGAGTACTCTACCTGGTGTTCCATGTTTTATAAAATCTTTCCACTCCGAATGGTGAGAACCAAACAATTTCTATCCCAGTGTGAACTCCAAAGATTTTTCTACTTTCTTATTTCTGATATTTTGTCTCATAGCCTCTAGTGGTTTATTCACATGCATTCATTAGGTAGAAATCAGCTACAGTCTTGAAGAAAACCTTCCCAAAGTCTCTGGGAATTTCTTTCTGGATGAATCTCTGGTCTTAATGAAGTGCTTTGCTCTCTACTTTTCTCTTTCATGAAGTTTACACAACTTGGCTTCCTTGAATTCTCACCCCTGTTACCTCAAATCAGGGAGTGGCGGTGTCTGTTTGGATTTTTCCTTCCTGCACTGCAGCCTGGAAACTCTGTGTGCTGGGGCAGTTTCGTATTTTCCTTCCTTCAGGGACCACTGTGTTGTGTTTCTTTTCCTCCTATGTCCAAACAACTTTGTTTGGTATGCTCTTCATTGTGTATTAGGAGTTTAAATTCTCTTAGTTTGTCAGGTCCAGAAGCACAAGTCTTTTTAATAGAGAATCTTTGTGTTCTCTATTTTAAAATATCTCTATTAAGTAGAGATAACTGTAACAGAGGTCTTTTGATACTTTTTGGAGCTAAATGTAAACTTGATTCATATGAGGACTATTGGTGATATTAGTTATTAAATAAAACATAGTAAGATATGCAAATAGTTTGTAAGAAAAATAAACAATTTTGGTATGAAACCATGAGCCTAGGAATGATTTCAAACAACTCTATAAGTACACAACAGTTTAGTTTTAAATGCTTTACTCTTTCCCTCTACACCAATATCTCTGAATAGACAATAATTTCACATTGTCCAATTACAGCCTATGTTAGAATGACTATATTTTTCTATCAGGAAGAAAGCCTTCCTTCCCAAACTACAGGCTCCATTACATTATGTCTAGCAAGGTCATAACAAAGGCAAGGTGTGTAGTCCCTAAGGTATATTAGCTTTGGTCCCACTGTATGCAGACCCCAATTTTTGTGATTAGTCCTTGATATAATTATGGCAGTGTTTCCAGATGGTGTAGGATAATCAACAGTGATCACAGTAGACTTAGACTTTAGTGTGTGACTCACATTTGCTTTACCAAATATAGAGCTCTTCTATCCATCTTAAAACTGAGGTCTCCTTACTGATGGAAGGCAGGCATGTGAAATCACTCAGAACAGAAAGCTCCATAGCTAATGAACTCAATTCCATCTTTTGTTTTGCTACATATATTTAGGGCATCACTGAAAGACCCTAAGAACTACTCCTATATTTCTTGAAATACAGGAAGAAACTATCTTCATTTTTCTTTTACATGTTTCTTTAATTCTAAGTAGATTGCCTTTCAGTGCTAATTTATTTAAAAATCAAAGCGAATGTCATTTTTCTAAATTTTTTTTTTTTTTGAGGCAGGGTCTCACTAGGTAGAACAAGCCAGCCTTAAACTTGCTTGTATAGTCCAGGCTGGCCTTGAACTACAGTGATCCTCCTGGCTCAGCTACCAAGGTCTGGAACTACAGGCATATGTCACCATGCCCAGTGGAAAGCGAATATCTTTGAATTCACTCATGGATTACAGCACAAAATAGTCTTTAAGGTGTTTTATTCTAATGTTAGAAAATTCAGACCCACTCTATTCTTTTTTTAAAATTTCATAATATCTAAAAATCATCTTGTAAAAAAAAAGAAACAATAAGAATAAAAATCACCTTATAACTTGCTCTTTGTTCTGGAAGTTTTATAAATGTGGCCCAAAGCACTTCTTGAGGGCTGGTACATATATGATGAGATCTAGTTGCTGTTCCAGCCTTTACCTGGTTCATAAATCTTACTTTTCATGAATGTTTACTACATAAGAATTGTACATGGAAAAGAAATGCATTACTGTTGAAGGAGAAGAAATGACTGATAATTATGTAAATGGCTCCAGACGGGATTTTTTTCATTCCTTTCTTTTTTCTTTTCTCTGGGTGCCAAATATTAACAGACCTATTAAATTTACATCAGTTCTAGCTAGAATTTATTTCAGTGGACTGCACTGATGTGCTAATTTAGTCATTTATCTGGACAATAAATGGCACGTCATCCTCCCCTCAAGAACAAAGGAGAGGTGTATGCTCGAGCCTTCTTTTCCCTTCAGCTCGTGGAAATTGTTCACAGATTGGACAGCTGGCAAATAGTATGTGTGTATAAATTTGGAGACAAAAGCCTGAAACAAGCAGGCTGTCGGCAGATGGCAATAATTGTTAGAGTCAAGCAAATGAACAGAATCTGAAGCAGACAAACAAGTTAATTCCCTGCAATCACATGGGCATGGATGGTAAAATCCTTGACAAGCAAAACACTGAGGTCTGTGCCTGTGTGACAAATGTTAAATAAATAAAACAAGTGTTAAAAGGCAGGAAAGCAAGCAGGTAATAATCACACTCTCCCTGGCCTTCACATCGCACCTCATCAATCCTCTTTTGTTGAATGAGGAATGGGGAGGGCCGGGGCACATTTCATTTTGACAGAGGGCTTTGCTGTGCGGCATACTTCACAAGCACCAGTTATACTGAGATTGAGAAGGCAGGATTCCACCTAAGAGCATGGTTGCCCCAAACACATTTGAGAGTAAGAGTTAATTAACTCACAAGGAAAAATCTTGGTAAACAGTCCAGTTTTAGCAATTAGCTATATTACAAATCTCCTGTAGATGAATAGTTGCTTAGTGGAGTCTATAAATGGAGACTGTAGCATTGTTCTAGTCTTTTTTCCCTTTATTTTTTATTATTACACTTAAAAATGAGTGTGTACTTCTGTTTTAAACTTCTTTCTCACCTGAGGTGGCATTTAGCTTGTTACATTAGGTTATATACAGAGAAAATCTAATGAAGTAAAGCACTGATCTGCCTTTTCTCCCTGAGCAGTTGATTGGGATGCATATCTAGCTATCAAGGAGCCAGAGGCCAATTATGCCATAAAACATAACCTTTATAAGCAAAACAAAGGCAGGTCTTTTTCAAAGTAGGAATGTTTTAAAATCTACCCCGCATATTTATCTTGCAGGCTAATTATTTCTTAGCATTTTGGTTCCATCTTTCAGCCCAAACTGAGCATTTTCACTATTCATTATTCTTTTGGTTTTCCTGGGGGAAAATCACTCACTACTGTACCCCTGAAATAAAAATTCTTGGAAAGGGTTTTAAAATAAGTTAACAATAATAACTAATCTACTGCTTGAACTGAGAATAACTCAGAAGATTAGAAATTCACTAGCGGCAAAGGCCATCCCAGGAAGCAGGCTTAGTTAAGTCCTGGAATCAGGAGGCAGGAAGATGTATGGTGGTACTGAGAATCTCCTGATGGTTCTGAGCCGTTGAAATAAGAAAGAGGAGAGGGGAGGAGAGGGCAGGGGAGGGGAGGGGAGGGGAGGGGAGGAGAGAGAAGGAGAGGAGAGAGGAGAGGAGAGCAGAGGAGAGGAGAAGGGAGGGGAGGGGAGAGGAGGGGAGAGAAAGGGATGGGGGAGAGGAGAGGAGAAGAGAGGAGAAGGGAGGGGAGGGGAGGGGAGGAGATGAAGAAGAGGGAAAGAAAGAAGAAGATGTGTTGAAAAAGAACAACAGAGCCAAACTTTGAAGTATGTATAAGCACACAAAGGAGTTTGATCTGTGTTCCTTGGGCCATGGAGAATCACTTTGAATGACATGGTCACAACTGCACCGTGGAAAGGAAGTTCTATAAAGAGGCAAAATAGAATGAATAGAAATCATTGATTTGGGAGAGACTTGAGAGGTCTCACTGAGTGGATGTAAGTACTGGTTTATTTTGGTTTTGGTTTTGGTTTTGGTTTTCTGAGGCAGGATCTCACTATGTAGTCCACCATGTAGACCCTGAACTCGAGGCAATCCTCCTGCCTCAACCTCCCACATGCTGGGATTACAGGCTTGTACCATGCACAGCTCAGTACCAGTTTATTATTTTTTTTTTTTTATTTTTTATCGGTACTGGGGATCGAATTCACGACTGCCTGCTTGCAAGGCAGGTGCTTATGCCGCTAAGCTAAATCCCCAGCCCCTCAGTACCAGTTTATTAAATATGACATTTTTTTCATGAAAAAAAGTTGCAGAGGCCATCGTGCTCTCAACATACAATCCTGGGAAGCTGTTTCAATACAGAACAAGTGAGGCGTTGCTCTCTTTTCAAGGATTAAACTTGACATCCGTGTGGAAAATCACAGGAGAACTGGGCTTTGTGTGAGGCAGTAACTGGAGAATGATAGCCACTGGATTATGTAAGCAAACTCCTGGGCACCAGGTGGAGGTGACCTCATTTAGGCAAGCGCTTCCAGAGGAGTCACGGGCTTCCTGAGCTTCAGTCAGAGAATAGCACGCTGTAACTGAAGCCCTTGACCGCTCTCCCAAGCCTGAACCAGGAGGTCAGAAACCCTCCCTGTTGCTCAGGCGCTGCCTCTTTTCCTTCCCAGAAGGGAGCAGCTTGAGGAGATGGTGACTCTGCTCTGCTCTGTGGAATTATAAAGACTCGTAGCGTCTTCTTAATAAATGTTCTCTTAGGAAATCACAAACTCTAACATTAGTACGTGTCTAAGGCCCATCTTACCTTTAAGCTAAAGTATTGCTTTTATATCAGAAATTTCTTTGTGTTTTTCCTTTATCATGTCACTGCTGAAGTTTTTCAAACATTGAATAATTTCTTGATTTTTATGGTTCTTTTAAGAACAGTATTACTGGTTGGAGTCCATTGCTTCATTTTCCACTTCTCACATTTTTTTTTACTTCCTTCCTAGTGCTTAAAGAAGGTATTTGCTTTGCCTTTCATTATAACAACCGACTGTTTCCATTTTAAATTCCCATAACAGGGTCTGACGGTGTTGTGTGTCCTTTTGCCCTCCGGTGTAATAGTGTTCGGTCAATCTCCTACGACAGACCTAGAAAGAAAACAAAATTTCTACCTTCTTAAGCCCTTTAGCAACGGAATCTCTAGAAATCATTCTTGGTTTGATTCAGGTACACACTGAATATGCTCGAAGACATTGGTGGTGGGCAGAAGGTCAATGATGACATCATCATCAACTGGGTGAATGAGACACTGAAGGAGGCAGAGAAAAGCTCCTCCATCTGCAGTTTCAAGGTAAAGTTTCCAGCCTCCGTTAGAAGCCACTTGAGCTGCAGACTTATCTTTATTGTTCTCATTTCTTGTTAAGTGACCTTCAGTGTTAGAGTCGAGGCCCTCCGCATGTTGATTTTTCTGAAATGGCCCAGTACTGTTCCCATGCTCCCTGGCCATTCCTCTGACAAACCTCTGGTCACTTTCTTCCATAATACTTAATTTTGAAAAATCATCATTTTAAACACATCATTGTAGGCTTTGTTCTTTCAGAGGAACATGATGTATTTCTTAGATATGTGCACACGTCCATGGATCAGATTTTTAACATTCTAAGGGGGAAATGTAAAGTGCTAAAAGATCTCCCATGTGATGTTCAAAGCCAATTGTGCTGTGTGTCCAAAACCTATTTTTATTGACAGCAGCATTGTGTTTTATTAAATTTTTTAACTCATCCATTCATTAGCTGGATTTTTCCTTGAGAGGCATACTAGTCCCATATTTTGATGGTGTCTATGCATCTTACCTACATTTTTCTAGGTTAAAACTCAGGTGAGGGAGGGAGAGACTTCTTCAGAGTTATCCTGACAGGGTAAGCAAGGCACCACATCATGGTACCAATTCTCTGATTAAAAGTTAAGGGAAAAATGAAAATCTCTTCCTATCTGGAAGAGTGGAGGTGGAACTAGGTAGGGTGCCTCAGTGGTGTCACCAGCTGCCAGCAGGTCACAGCTGTCGGCCACCTCTGCTCTGTCTTAAGCTTACTGCTCTGTCTGAATTGCTATACAGAGAGACCAGGGCGGAAGCTGCTAACTGAAGCTAGCAGATGCTTCTAGAATGAAAAGTCAAACGGAGCTCCAAACTGATGTTCTCTGAGTACCAGGGGCTTTGCTCAGAAGTTCCCCTTCACAGACATTGTGAGACCAGCTATAACTGTCTTCCTCTGGGGAACAGTCCTGGTCCCTCCTCGTCTATCTGTGCTGCCAGGTGCGGCCACCCCTCTACCTTTCAGCACCTCCCAAAACTGTGGGTTTTGAAGCAGAAAAGAAGACTTTAGTGGCTCCATTTTGTTTTCACTTCTCCTTTCTCAAAAGGCTCTGTGGAGACAGAAGCCAAGGCTGATGATGGAAATGAGACTGTGATTCTGTCTTTGCTTTAATTTTGTGGTGGTTCTTTTATTGTATAAACAAAAATAAAGACGGACCCATGATAGTTATTAAAAACTATTATTCTACCTATACAGAAAAGTTGATACTAGAAAACTAGCTCCTGGCAAGGCTCCTGGGTATTCTGTCTTGCTTAGGATTTATTCTGATTCAGGTCCTTAATGCATGATTGCCCCTACCTGTGCCTTGCTAGGGACGCACGGTTTCACTCACAGGTCCCCCAGACTGTGGTCCCCTTCTGGAGCAGGAGAGAAAAGAATCTATGGTGCAGAGGTTTGTGATTCACATCCGCGGTCCCTTTGCAGTCTAGACGTGAGCAGCAAATGCAAAAGAAACCAGCATTTTATGCCAGAATTTTGAGTTCAGGCCCTAGCTCTGCCACTTCACAGCAAGTCAGTCACCCTCACACACTCCTCTACTCGCCTGTAAATTAACATTAAATGGGAGCCTGAGGGTGATAGAGTGTGCACTTAGCATGTGGGAGAAGCCCTGAGTCAAGCCCCAGCACCAGTGCATAAACTTTTGTGTCAATGAAAAAATAAACTTGAAAAACCGAGTTAGAGCGCCACACTCCCCCCAAAAAAGTTTACACAGATGCTTATATCTATGTCTTTTTTTATGTCTATGTCCTGCAGTGACAATCAAGTGAGATTCCCTGTGAAAGCACTGTGAGGCCCCAGCAGCAGTAGTTACCGTCAGTGGTTTTAGTCACATCAGTACCATTACTGTTTCCCAGTAACGGCTGTTTTGTTTCCCCAAAGTCTCCTTGGAAACTGTCCCCCTGCACCCTCACCACTGTCACTGCCACTCACACTGCTCCCCATGTGAAGCAGGTTTTTCTGACATCCTTAGTCTCTTCTTCCTGATGTGATTTCATGTATGTGGTTTGTTGTTGTTGTTGCTTTATTTTTTGCAGTACTGGAGGTTGAACACAGGGCTTATGCACTGAGCTATATCCCCAACCTCCAGCCCCCTTTTAGAGACGGAGTCTCATTAACTCGCCCACCTTGGACTCCACTTGCAATCCTCCCGCCTCAGACTCCCAGAGTTCTGGGGTTGCAGGAGTGCACCACCGTGCCTAGCTTAATGGCTTCCTTTTTAAGTAATTCCTTCCTTTACTCTACTATTGTATAAACATTAGGTAAAAGACATCTTTCAGCCTTTGTGTTTTTCTCTAGTTGTGCTAACTTCCTTCCATTCATCATTTGAGAATGTCTCCTGCTGCTGGAAGAGACTAAGTTTTCTCTGAACTTACTGATAGCCCTACCAAAACTACTGTGAGTTTGAAATACCATGTGCAATGTTGTGGCACTGCCGCCCAAGGCTGTATACATTTCATCTTCAAGAAAGAACCACCCTCTTCCCTTAAACAGGATAGAAATAACCCTGGGATGAGTTGACCAAAGCCCCACCTTTCTTTCTCCACAGGACCCGAGGATTAGTACAAGTCTTCCTGTTCTGGATCTCATTGATGCCATCCAGCCGGGCTCCATTAACTACGACCTGCTCAAGACAGAAAGCCTGAACGATGAAGAGAAACTCAACAACGCAAAGTAAGTAAATAGAGCTGAGATCGCATGGGAAGACCCAGCGGGCCCCTGGGTGTTGGGAAGTGAGTGCTCACGGTTGGGTGCTTTCTTTTCATTCAGTTGCTTTTCATCAGCATCACTTTACATATGGTGCAAGAGCAGTTGAAAGTTCTTTTTGTTAGAATGAGAGCAAAACAAAAATCCAAGAATCTTCTTGTAATTCTTAAACAAGTCTATAGTTAAAACCGATTTCCTAATCCTAATCTACAGGAGATTTCCAAAGTGAAGTTCATGCATAGTCAGGCCCGAACACAAGCACACCATTCATGAATATTTGTGGGTAAAAAAAGGCAGGTACTGAAGATTCAGTACCAGAATCTTCACCAACTAGAGAACAGCTGGCACACACTTTACCACTTTAGGTCACTTTGCCCAATGATTCCTCTAGAACGAGGACCTGCACACTGTAGGCTCTGAGCCAGGCCTGACCCACTGCTTGCGATTATAAATAAAGTTTAATTGGAACATAGTCTATGTGTTTACATATTATCTGTAACTCATTACTTCTCTGAAGTAAGTAGTTGCAATGAAGCCTGCAAAAGTATTTATGGTCTGGTTTTTTATAGAAGTTTGCCAGCGTCTGCCCTAGAGACACCTTCCTCAGAGTAGTCCTTTAGTTTCCTAGGGCTGTCTTAACAAAGTACCACGTCAACTGAGTGGTTAAAACAACAGAAGTTAGTTCTCTGACTGTTGTGAAAATTAGAAGTCTGGAACCAAAGGTGTCAGCAGGGCTGCTTCCTCCCGGGGTCTTTGAGGGAGGACATGTTCCATGCCTCTCTCCAAGGTGCTGGGTGGCCAGAGATCCTTGGCATTGACTGGCTTGTAGATGCATCATTGTGGTCTCTGCCTATATCTTCATCACGTGCCTCTGATTTCACACATGTCTCTCCCCTTTGTGTGTCTCTGCTTCTTATGAGGATACCAGTCCTGTTAGAGTAGGGACTGACCCTACTCCAGCATGAGTTCATCTTGACTAGTTACATCTGCAGTTTCCCTATTTCCAAATAAAGTCACAACTGGAGGTACTTGAGTTTAGGAATTCAACATAACTTTTTTGGGGAAGGGACATAACCAAACCCAATCAAAGATCTAGAATTTATAAGTGTTTGGTACCCAGCATCCCTGCCTTACAATCCCAACAGTATCCTCTTTCTGTTCCTGATTTTGGAAAGTGCGTTGATGAAGAAAAGGATATATAATACAGCTGCGATTACAATAGTGTCAGGGATGGTGCAGAGGGCAGAGGGTAGTCTAGAGCGCCACAGAGCAGTCCAGAAGGAACTGAAGCTTTAGAGCAAATAACATCTAAACTAAGCTGATTGAAGGGACAAGTGAGAGGGAGGTTGACAGATGGAGGACGTAGAAAGAATATTCTAGACAAAGAATATATCCAAAATGGCAGAAAATTTTTTAAAAAATAAAAAGCCTTAAGCTCTGCTGGTCAGAGGGGTGTGATTAGGTTTTAGGCAGTTGCAAGATCACAAGGTGTACAGCTGAGATCCAGGGACTAATTTCAAGTCCAGGCTCCTCTGGACTTTCCCATAAGAGCAAGATGCAAAATCTCGACTGCATGTGATTTTATTTCGAAGTTAACTATGGAGTTTTATACTGTTTTCCTCTACATTTTATAATGACTGTTCAGTAACATTACCCCACCAATAAACAACGTAGAGGAAGTTACTGAGCAGTGGACAAGGGGAAAGAACCGGATTATTCCTGCCTGATGCTCTTCATTTAATCCCAGGGATAAAGTAAGAGTGAAGTTTTTCAGGAGGGCAGGAGAGAGGAACAGGGCCTTAGGCAGGGTGGAAGCTCCAGAGTAGCCATAGTAACAGGCTGCAAGAGAATAAATAAAGTGACTAAGAGAACTAACTGCCAGGTGATAGTTTGGGCTTATTTTAAAGTGGATTACAATGCACAAAATTGTCTTTATGTAACTGTAAGTAAAACAAAAATATTCTAATGTAGCTATGATGTTTTTATGTGAAAAGTATGAAATGCAAAACTGTGCTATTCTAATGTTAAAAACACGTATGTGTGGACGTAAGTTGGAATGAAGCTAGGAATAAAAGAAATGTTATGTAAGCTCAAGGTAGTAGAGGCACATTTTTTCTCTTTTCTATAAAAATGATTCTGTAGGTGAAATATAGTCTGCAGGCTTTTTCTAGCATAAATTCTTGTTGAGTTCTGAGCTTTTTCTTCTCAACATGTTTTTTAACTCAATGGAATGCTCTTAGCTGGGTATGGTTGTGGAATTCTTGTCCTTGGGAGGCTGAGGCAAAAGGATTGCCATGAATTCAAGGCCAGCCTGGGCTACCTAGTGAGTTCAATTAATAACTTGAACTACATAGCAAGACCCTGTCTCCAAACAGCAAAACAAGAGAAGAATGCTCTTGGTGTGACCACACACTTGCAAGGCAGGCACTGACGCCGCTGAGCTAAATCCCCAGCCCCATGGGTATCAAAAGTAGCAGGAGCAAAGGAAGCCCTCCAGGACAAATACTATCCCTGGTCATTATGATGTGGCTGAATGGTAACACTAGTGCTTTGTGGGAAGCCTTGTGGAGCCAAGTTGTGTCTGTGATCTTGGGAGGATGCTGGTGGCTGTCACCGGGGACTCCGTGCTCGAGTTCCGTTCTGACTGTAAGGCAGCTGTAACCATGGTCCGCGGAGGTCTGCTGCTTAACTGCCGTTCAGGCTGTCCCTCACTTGTCTTCTCTTTACTGTTCCAGGTATGCCATCTCTATGGCCAGAAAAATTGGAGCGAGAGTATATGCCCTTCCAGAAGACCTGGTTGAAGTGAACCCCAAAATGGTCATGACAGTGTTTGCATGCCTCATGGGGAAAGGGATGAAGAGGGTGTGAGGCCTGATGGGCCAGGGCAGACATCAACACTCTCAGTTGTGCTGTGAGGGCCCCACACAGCATGCTCCCAGGATGCATGAGGACCATTCAAGCCATTCCAAAGTTTTCAACTTGGTGACATTATAGAACACTCCAAAAAGTGCATATTCACCCAGCCAAGTAACCTCTCCTGCACTTAACAGAAAATGCTTACTTTTTTGCAAAAAAAAAAATTACTTCCTATAAATATTTTTTTATTATTAATTTTTCTTCTTTGAAAATCTAAAGAAAATAAAAGGAAGATATTTTCCAGGCACCCTTTCTGCTTTTGCAGTTAGGACTGAGACTGCAGATTAATTTTTGACGTAATCTTTCAAACTGGTTTTATTTGGCTATCTTTTCCTTCATTCAACATGAGGACCAGGAAGAGGAGATCACAAACCTGTCGTGTCACCTGTTCATTGAGGCCAATAATTAACCCTTCACGGGCCTCTTTCCGCCCCTTCCTCCTGCCTTGTGTCCCAGTGAGTTTGCCCCACTCCCTGTCAGTGCCTGCTCTGTGGCCTACCTCTCCCTGTTGTCCTCCTTGGTCACCTGGTGCATCCTGACAAGTAAGTCAGGCAGTCAAGGAGCCAGGTGTCTCTGGTAGCCTGTAGAAGTAAACTTCACCATCAGGGCCTTTCCTCAGAACCGAGGTACCAAATGGCATCAGTTTTCACTTTCATTCTCTAAGAAGCCCTCCATTTTTAAATCTAGAATTTAGACTCAGACCAATTTGAGCACCTTGAGCACCCTCAGGTAGGTTGTGAGCTCTGGCAGAAGATTGCAAGGTGTGGTAGAAAAGAAAGCCACTAAGGGGCAGTGTAGAGCTATCCCTGAGCACCTGTCCTTTATGGTGCTGCCTCTCTGTACTGTACTTAGCAGTTAGCCCTGCTTGTTAGACCTAATTATTGCACTATGGCTAAATATCTGGTGACATTTGGAAGCAGTCCTGCTCAGCTTTCATTTGCTCTTCAATATCAATATGCAATTGCTGCCAGGTCATATGATCAAAGTTTACCTTTTTGGTACTGCAAAAGCTTTTCATCACCCCTCTGCTCCAGGGGTAGGTAATATGTGCCAATAAATAGCAGTCCCGCTGCCCATCTCCACATACCCCTAGCCAGAAGTCAAGGGCAGAATGAATATATGCTGGGCAAGAACTGCCTTTGTTGCTTTAGGAAGAGCTAATTACCTCGACACTTACAGAATTCCAGACAAAACTAGAACTACCAAAGGCTAAAAAAGCAACAGAGCATTTAGAACCAACACTAGACTCCCTGTGTCATGGTAAATGGGCTCACTGATGAGCTATCTTTTTTAGGGAACCAATTTAATGGAACTTAGCCATTTTTCAAAGCAATTGCAATGCATTGCCCTGGATCCATTCCTTGGCAGTGGGCTCAGGAAGCTAATATGTGGCTCCTTTCGGCTCATAACCAGTATTTCTGCATCTGAATGCAAAGTGGTTGGCTTTGACTTTAGTCTGAACTTCATATAGGCCTGGATGATTTTCCCCCATCTGCCTTCAGGAAAGAAGAATGTTATTGCCTTACTGGAAAATGAAGATTAAAATAATGCTCAAAATCCTTCCAAATAAAATGTGCCCAAGATGAAGTATTTCTGGGTGTTTCCTTATGAATATTTAATAACCCTGTTCTGTAACTCATTAATTTATTTGTTTAGGTGACATACACTGAGTGCCTAATATAAGTAAGACAATGTGTATGGTTTTAGGAATATGCCATAAATAAGACCAGCACCATGTACGTTGATCAGGAAAGGCAGGTGTTGCTCAATGAAAATGAAAGCTGTTACAAGTGGTAAAAAGGGGGTGAGGTGAGATGTGAACCTCTGGCAGGAAGCTAATGGGAGAAATGTTTTAGCTGACACCTGAAGCATAGGCAGCAACTGGTAAGTGAAGAAAGTTGAACTATGAATTCCCAGAAACACGTGGACTGGAGCCATTAAGGCCACACTTGGGAACTGGTGCAAAGTGACTTCTCTAGTGAATGGCAAAGGCCCCATTTGGGTGGGTGGTGCCTGGCGGCCTTTCCCTCTTGGCCAGGAGAGGGTGTGCTTAAGGAAGAGTGTGGTAGGATTCTGCTGCAGCCAGTTCCCTCGCGGCAGGGCTGCTGAGGCAAAGGAGCTGGCCTGCCACCAATGAGACACCTTCACTGAAATCAGAGCCACACCTGCACAGAGGCTAGGATATGGAGTTTCTGTACCTTCTGGATACTCCAGACTCACCACTGGCTCTTTGGGTGGTGTCTCCTACTCTGAACATTCTTACAGCTTTGATACTAAGGCTAGGACTGCCTTTCTCCACACATGCAGAGGCTACAAATAGTATTGTTTGGAATTAGACTACACTGATGAGTCTCAAATAAAAAGTCTGAAGTAGTACAGAACAGCAGAATAAGTACTAGCAAGAAAAAAGATCTATGACTATCTTGGAGAAAAGACCAAAGGAGCCTAGTATGGTAACTTCTTAACTTTAAAATTTTATTGCTACATTTTAAATGATCATTGCAAGAAATTTAAACTGCACTAAAGGATTTACAATAGAAATTCGATCCCCTCTCACCCCTGTGCCCGGTGATGTGCTTTGAAACTAGCTCATTGTTAAACCATTGTTAGCTTGAAATTGACATGATGGGGATATTTACAACACAGAAATTCACAGAAAATCAAGTTTTCTGAATATGGGTTTTAATTCCAGAAGAGCTAGTTCATCAACTGACCTGTCTCTGTGCCAACCCCTCCCAGATCCCTGCCCTAGTCATCAAGTACTCTTACCAGTTTCTTTTGTATTTTTGCAGCAGTCTTCTATATACATATCACATGCTACTCAACCATTTAAAATGCAAATATTAATATATACATCATTCTGCATCTCACTTCTTTCACTTACCTATTTTGAAGATTGTTTCATAGTAGTCCATATAGATCTGCCTAAATCTTTTCAACAAGTCTAAGTGTGTCAATCACTATTTAACCATTTAGATTGTTTCAACCTTTTTACCACAGCAAGTAAGGCCTTGTGAGTAATAGTATAGTCACTTGTTGAGCACATAATGTTTTTTATTTTATTGAACAGAGATTTATCAAATGTCTGCCTGAGAAAAGATATTGAATCCTGAATAATAAAAAAATGCATTCTCTTAAGTTTCCCTAGAGTATTTTACAAAGAACCTTAAGCTTGGAAAGATGCTTAAACTGATCCAAATGTCTCCATTTTGTATCTAAATAAACATGTTATTACAAGAAGAGATAATGTTAGGGCTAGGGATTTAGCTCAGCAGCATAAGCACCTGCCTTGCAAGTGCGGTCATGAGTTCGATCCCTGGTACTAATAAAAAAAAAAAAAAAAGAGAGAGATAATGTGCCTGAATGTGCATACCCATAACGAAAAGCAGAACATGACCAATGTATAACAGATTTGTAAATAAAGAACAGTATTATGTGAGCTCAGAGGAAAAGTCAATTGTGAATAAAGGATCAACAAAAATCTGTGGAAGAGCCCAGGATGATGAATGAAAATTGGGTGGGAACCATGACTTACAGATGCTGATATCCCCCACGGAGACAAGCACACTTCTAAATTCTTAACAAGAGCTCAGAATCTGTGTAGAAATTGGTTTATGTTTGTCATCAGCAAACATCTCCTGACTGCGGGTGATGCCAAACATACCAGAGGAGTTGTGAGAAAAGTTGTGAAACAGACTTACTTGGAAAGTTTTATAATAGAATGGACCGCTGTCTGCCTGGAAATGGTGACATTTGAGCCTGTGTGATGCAATGCATTGGACTGGATGATCCTATAAAGTCTCAACCTAGTAATTTATCCACTCAGACATGTGGGCGTCTGCCCACTCACAGACACAGAGTCTGCCCCAGGTGCATAATTACCATCTCCTTTGTAAAAACGGTGTAAATTTTGAGAGTATTTTAGACAAGCTCATCTCACTGATGCTTAGTCCACAAGGGACATGTGAATGTGCCTCAGTGTCCCTGGGATAGTTCCCGAGCCCACTTTCCTTATGATTACCATACCTATTGTCATTAACCTTTTTTGTTTGTCCACACTAGTGAATCAGAAGGCTCGGCCTAAGGGCCGGCAGTACTCTCCTGATGAACCTGATAGCGTTTAAAAAGTCCAGCATGGCCCTGCCAGTCTCATGATTCAGAAAACAGAGCTCATGTTCAGAATAACTATAAGAAGTGTTGACTGATCCTCTTGTGAAATCCCAACACTTTGATGGTTTCCTGATAAAATTCCTGTAACTCAACCCGTAGCTGCTAGCAATGGCTCTTTTTCTCAGTGTTCTTTCTCCCTGTTTCTGAAAGACAGAATCTTCCTAGTGAGTCTGTAAGTGAATGACACACAAAAAACTGTGTAAGTGTTTTCTCATGTCTGAAGGCTACATTAATTTAATAATCCATCTTCTGTCAGGCACAAAAACAGATAACCTAGTGATACCACCTATCACTATTAACAACTCAAGGAAAAGTGGAGATAATTCTTATGTTATCTTGAGGTAAGGTAGAAAAAAAAATAAAAATAGGTAGACAGGAGACAAAGGAATTTAATTTTAAGAAACTGCATCTTCAAGACACAGTCAACATGACCCAACTTACCAAGCCTTTTTCACCCCCAGGCTTGTTTTTCTTCCAAATAAATTCCTAGGAGTGTTAAAGATACAATAAGTGCATAAATTTAATCCGATGGACTGATACTACGAGTCCATCAATTCCATGGACTCCCACTCTCAAAGAAACGCTACTATTAATTTGATACTGTATTTCGAATTTAGCCCACTAATGAGCAGCCTGACCTTAAGGAAACAGACAGCAGGTAAATGATAAATAACTCAGAGAAATAAGCATTGTGGGTCCTCCGCTTTGAGGACACCCCAAGACCACATAAATATCCTATAAGGGTTGACTGATTGTGTCCATGGCGTAGGTAACACCCAACTAAATTGGCTCAGCACAGTTTTGGGTGTGGAGGACCTATCTTGGGGCGATTGTCGCCAGAATGGTATATTGTGAAATGAAAGAGGAAGGATTGCTTCTGCTTTCTTTGGAGGAGCTCTAATCTTCACCTTCACCTTGCGTGTCAACTCCTGGCGTTTAGTATAAACTCTTCAGCCTCCAGCAGAGCCCCTCAGCCTCCTGCTACAGCCTCGTGTGGGGCACGGCATGCAGCTCCAGGCTGCACCCTTCGGATCCCCAGTGCACAGACCGACCTGCACTCCTCCACCCCTGACTGTGGGCGGCCATTGTAAGCCAAGATGTAAAAGTCTTGTATATTTGTATATCTGGTATATGTTTCTCTGGTACACACTGACTGGTACACATCCCAACCCCAGATCATACTGCATCTCCCCGTCAAGTGCTTGAACTTCTTTCTGAGCCTTTCTGCTTTTTCTTCTCCCTCTTCTTTTTCTTTCCTCCTCCTCTTTCTTCTCTTCCTTCTCTTTCTAATACTGGGGATTTAATTCAGGACCCAGTCAATGAACTAAAACCCCAATCCTTTTCTTACATTTTATTTTGAGCCAGGGTCTCTAAGTCACTATTTGCCTGGTCTAGGCTCAAATATTGTGATTTTCTTGCCTCCACTTCCCAGTGCTGACATTAGCAGCATGCTGAATCGCACCCACATTACACACTTCTGTTATTTGGCCTAATAAATCTGCTTATCCCTCTCATTGATGGGCCCTGCGATTCTTTTCTATGATGAGTGAGAAACCGATTCAAGCTGAGATCCCTATATCCCTTCCAGAGGATTTCCTTGAACCCCATCTTACAGCAAACTGACACATCAAAATCGAGGACTTACATTTAAATATTTTAATAGCTATCAGACATCATTTTTAGAGTAGAGATCTTTAGAGAATTAAAATGCAAGCAATATTTAATTCCAAAACTATATGGGATCTCACACAAAATTTTATGATTCAGTAGGCATTTCTGCATCCAGTGAGTGACAACATGGGCTCGCTTTTAAAAGCATCAAACGTTCAATCCTTCCTGCTCTAAGTATAGGGATCAGGCCAGAGGCTGCTGGAAGCTAGTTAGACATGCAGAATCTCAGCCCTGACCCCCAGCCTGCTGAATCAGGTTCTGTATTTTTATATGCTCTCAGATGATTTTGTGCCTTGGTTTGAATATTAGTCATCCAGGATTCATGTGTTAGAAACTTAATCCCAAGGTCATATATTAAAGCTCCAATGGACCCTTGAGTTATGACCAACCTGACATACCAACAGCTTGGATTATGACCAACATTTTCATGTTAATTTATAAGCAAGGTCTTGAGTTATGAACCAAATGCCAGCTTCTTGTGCTTTCAGGAGGTTCCAGGTGCAGATTTAACCTTTAAAGAGTCCTGGAAGGAACATTACCACATCCTTTCCTGTGTGGGGTGAACTGAGAAATCCTATTCTAGTGCTCTCTAAGGACATGAAATCTGCCTGTAGATGGGAGAGAGACTTTGAAGACAGTGGAGAGGAGCCTGAGCCTTCAATTGATAACCTGAGTTATAACCAGCCCTCAGGAATGAATTGGGTTCATGAGACCTTTGAGAGATGATTTGATCATGAAAACTCTGCCCT